CCCTCATACCAGCCCCGTTCCCCCACCCGCCCCTTGGGGATCCCCAAAAGCCTGCAAGAGGATTTTCAAGCTCACCCACTTACACGGGCACACTGCTGCTTCATCAGCTTTGGAAGTTTTCCGAGCGTTTGCTCAAGCTACCTAGCATTCCTCCCACCTTAAAAATAGCATGGCCGATAAGGCTGGGGAGGGAGGGCAGAGCCAGCCCTGGGACAGGGAGCACAGCTCACCCCGCTGCCGCTCGACAGCGTCCCGAAGGGAAAGCCAAAGCCTCCCCACTCTCGGTGGGCAGCAACACTCTCGAAAACACCCCGGGCGCTACAGCACGTAAAGCGCTGGAAGCACAGCAGGTAGAGGGGCAGCCAGCGGAGGGAAGCAGGGAAGCAGAGTGCTTTTGCAGGCTGAAGGGTTCACATGGCCATAGATAAACCCATCCTGAGCATTACGGTGCAACACCCAGAATTTGAGACCGCGTTACAGCGGCGGCACCGGACGCAGGGGCTTTGCAAAGCTTTAAAAGCCTCCATGCAGGCAAAGCAACGGAGCGATTGAGCAGTACCTGCATTTGCTGGTCCCCAAAAGCGTCGGGGCCGTGCCCAGGCTCAGCTCAGGATTCAGCTGCTCCTCCAGCCCCACTTCTGGTGCACTGATGGCAAAAGCAGCAGCAAGGCAGAGACTCTCCTCTTATAGCCTGCTGCTCCCTTCATTAATTGATCCCAATTAGCTCACCAGGCACTCCGGCAGCTGTGTGGTGACCTGCTGCTCCGTTCCCAGCCCAGCCCGGCAGCAGGGCTTTCCCGGGAGCTGCTGGCAGGGGCTCCAGGACCAGCTAACTTGGCTCCTGGTTCCTAATCCGCGTCAATATTTCTCCCGGTACCTCCTGCCCACTCCGGGAAATTAGAGGTGACACAGAATGATTTTATGATCAAAGTGCTTCCAAAACCAGAACGGATATTGCGATTCAACATAAATGGACAAATAGACACCTTAGCTTCCCAAGGAAAGGCCATGCTATTTTTCAAGACAAATAGCTTGCCTCATATATTCCCTAGAAATGAGCGACGACACAATGAGATCTCTGTGTGTAGTTCAGAGGCTTTTAAGAGTATTTGTCATTCAGAGACGGTCCCAGCGCCTGCACATGACAGCACTATCCCTGTAAGGGCACGGCCGAGCCAATCTCTCTCCCTCTTCAGACAGAACGCAGACAGACAGCATTGAGCACCTCATCTCCTCACATACAAATAAATAAATCATAAATCAAGAGGGCTGTCGGATTTTTATTAGCGTGAATCACCTTGCCGTGCTGGCAGCCCATGTCCCTGAATGCTAAAAAAGGGTGGGAATGGGCTCTGGCGTCCTCCGGAGTAAACACTCCCACGCACAGCTCCTGTTCCCGGCACCTGGAAGCACCACCCGCAGCTCAGGGTTTGGGACCGGTGTCGTGGCTCAGCCCCAGGCAGCAGCTCAGCACCACGCAGCCATCGCTCACTGCCCCTGCCCCCATGGGATGGGGGAGAGAATCGGAGGAGTGAGAGGGAGAAACACTCCTGGGCCAAGATAAGAACAGGTTAATCATTGAAATAAAGTAACAAAGTAATGATAATAATAACAATATAATAATAATAGCAATAGCAATATCCAAAGCAAGTGATGCCCAATGCAATTGCTCCCCACCCACCGACCGATGCCCAGCCAGTTCCCAGCAGCGATCGCTGCTCCCCGGCCAACCCCCCCAGTTTCCATACTGCCCATGACGCCGTATGGTATGGAATGGCCCTTGGGGCAGTTGGGATCAACTCTCCTGGCTGTGCCCCCTCCCAGCTCCTTGTGCCCCTGGCAGAGCAGGGGAAGCTGAAAAGTCCTTGACTGGCATAAGCAGTGCTGAGCAACAACTAAACCATCAGCGTGTTATCAACATTCTTCTCCTACTAAATCCAAACCACAGCGCTGTGCCTGCTACTGGGAAGAAAATTAACTCTATCCCAGCCGAAACCAGGACAACCAGGAAACGTGTCCCAGAGCGGCCAAGCCGGGGGTCTCGTGCCGTGGGTTAAGCCTGCGTGTTGCTCTGCCCACGGGCTGAGGCCAGGCAGTGCCGGGAGCCTGGCGCCGTCTCCCGCTTGGACCTCTGCAAGGGCAGGGGCTCTCCTGCCGCCCCGGGGCTTCTCCTTGCTCGGGGGGTGCAGGGGGTCCATCCCCCCAGCACAGCCCTGGCTCTGCCCAGCCCCCTGCATTCGGGCTTTCCTCTCACGTTGCAGCGGATCCTCGCCCTTGCACTGGAGCCCTTGTGAACGCCCCCCCCAGACCCCCTTACCTCTGTCTTCTCTCCCAGGTGGATTTTGAGGATGTGATAGCTGAGCCTGTGGGAACGTACAGCTTCGACGGTGTCTGGAAAACCAGCTACACCACCTTCACCGTCAGCAAGTACTGGTGCTACCGGCTGCTCTCTGCCATCCTGGGCATCCCGCTGGCAGTCATCTGGGGCTTCCTCTTTGCCCTCATCTCCTTCTGCCACATCTGGGCAGTGGTGCCCTGCATCAAGAGCTACCTGATAGAGATCCAGTGCTCCAGCCGAATCTACTCCCTCTGCATCCACACCTTCTGCGACCCGCTCTTTGAGGCACTCTCCAAGATCTGCGGCCACATCAGAGTTGCTCTCCGGAAGGAGGTCTAGGTCCCGACAGCCGCCCCAACCAGCCCTCGCACGACCACCCCTCTGCCCAGGTTTCCCTGGCTCCTGCAGCATGCCCTGCCCTCGGGCGCACAGACCCCCATGCCCAGGGACCTGCGCAGCGCGGCGGGGCCCCACGGCTGTTGGGGATGCTCCCTGCGGACGGAGGCACGCCGGGCTGCCCCTTACTCCATCCCTAAGCCAGCAGCTTTGGGAGAAGAGGAGCCCATCGAGGCTTGGCGAGCAGCCCAGGGAGAGCCCTCTGCCCTCCAGGACCCCTGGCATCGCGCCCTGCTCCCGCGGGAGGGACCGCAGCATCTCCTGGACCATAGCCCTGGGCCACGACCTGCAGCTGCAGAGCGAGAAGCGAGGGTACAGAGATGCTGCTGGACAACAGACCAAACCCTGCCTGCTTCTCCACCCCTTCGGTCTAGCATGACACGAAGAGAAATATTTGCGTATGAGTTATTATTCGCTGCAAATAATTGTTGTTGTGGAAGCTTCTGTATTAAATCACCCCGCACAAAAGTTTTATGGGTAGAATAGTGAAAACAAACTTCTTTTTCATGTGTGTTTGCATTTCAGCAAAGCTTTGAAATCCAGGTCAATTAGTGCATGAAATGTTGTCTCCGCCTTCTGGGAGTACGTGCTGAGCCTGGGCCACCGGCAATTGCGAAACGGTTTGTGGCAGTTTGACACTCGCTGCTTAATTACGGGGCATCGTTAGGCTTTGTGGTCAGGACGCGCTGGGCCGTACAGCACAGGTGGGCAGCTGTCCTGCGCATCGCCGTGAGCGCGCGGGGGCTGCAGAGAGGGCAGCCGGGCAGCGCCACGGGCAGCAGCGAGAACAAATGGCTTTCGATACCCTCGCTTGAGAAGTGACCAGCTTGGCTTTAAGTAAAGCTTTGGCTTGTTTCTCAGGGAGAATATTTGCTACGTGCTTGCTTCTTTGATGCCGGGTGAGCTCTAGCCTACAGCAACGCCTTTATCTTACACGGCCAGGGCTGTCCCTCTGCTCCGTGCCTGCGGGAGCGGAGGAGCCGCCTCCGGGATGCTGCCGGCTCCCGGACACCCCGGCTCCAGTGAAAACACAGGGACGAGAGGAAAAAAGTCCAATTCAGAGCTTTTTCCTCCCCTGTGTTGTCAATTCATTTAGTCCATCGTCCATGAAGCCGTACTTTAACTTCGAGGCACTTAAACGCCGCTTTGGCTCTGGCCTTAAGTGCTTTGCTGAATCAGGGCCCAGGAGGTCTCGCTGTTCAGAGGTTATTCTCAGTTGTATTCATGTGCTTTTTTCCCTTGGCTTCCAGCAAAGACTTGGAGCCAAAGTATCTTCTAGTGCCATGCCAAGGACACAAAAGAGCCAGATTTTCTATTGGTGCTCTTCCAATGGCTTGGGATTGTGGACTTCCATTATTCCATACAATATAGCACCCATGCTCTAGCAACACTGGGCATAGAGATGGATGGAGTGATACAAGAAAAAAAGATATTTAGATATTTGTAGAGGGGGAAAAAGTCTCCAAAAACATTATATCGTGAGCATTTTTTAAAGCTTTTTGTGGGAATAAAAATAATTTAAAACAATACTGGGATTATATTCTTTTTAATTTTTTGTTGTTGTTGTTGTTCTAGTAGTTCACAGCCTGCACCCCAAAAAACTCCAAAATTCTGATCTCCCCACCACAGTGATCTATGGGCTGCCCGCACATGAAGCACATGCTGCTCGCGTGTCAGCAGCTCTACTTTGCTTTTGACCCTTACGAACAGTTTTTTGGCAGTGCGTTCGATAGCCTTCCACGGCGACAAACCTGGAGCTCCTCTCCCCATCCCCGTTTTGCCGCAGCCCGAAGATCGCAGCGTCCCCGCGCGTGGGGCACGGCCCCGCCTGCCTGACCCCATAACCACAGCCTGTAATTGCAGCCAGGGCTTGCAAGGCAATGCCCTGCCTCTCCCAAAGCTCCCTCCTTGCCCCGTGCATCAGCCCCGGTAAAATCTATCGCCGCACCGCGTTTCCTTCCTGGCAGACGGAGGATGCACCAGGCCCCCGAGTTCATGATAAAATGGAAACGCCCCCATCCTTGTTTTGTGCAGGAGCTAATTACTCTCAAGGAGAAAGAAGGTGAACGAGGGAGGAAAATGCTATATGCTTTCCCAAGGATTTCAACCAGTCTGGTACAATATGCTGAGACCGAGCGTGCTGGGTCATTTTCAGCAAATGTGCTGAGCGCTCACTTGAAGCCACTAGAAAAAAGTCAAAGGAATGCCAGGATGTGAAAGGTGAAAATGTACCTGTTGATGACAGTGAAAAAATAAAGTACACATTTAAATGCATTTTTCATATTCACTCCCAACATGTAAGGCCAAACCATTACCCTTTGACTGCATGCGGGACTTGCTTCTGCACATTGCCCCCGGCTGCAGATCCAGGAGGCAGCGGGAGTGAAGGCGGGAGCATCCGTCTGCAGTCGCCGGACCCCGCTGCCACCGAATTCTCGGGCAAGCTCCCACGGCCTTCAGCCAGAGCTGCACGCCGGCCCAGCTGTCCCACCGCCAACGGCTGGGTCACAGCGAGCTTCGTGCGACGGAATACAGCGGCGTGCAGGTCTTAAGCGCTTGGTGCAGTACTCCATAAACAAAAGCATCATTACGCTGACCGTACTTGGGTCTTGTGTTTAAAGCATTCCCATTGGCTTCCTTCATTCTCTCAGTCTAGTGCTCCTTCTGCACTTCCCCTCCCGCTTTCCAGCAAGACACAGTCAGAAAACTTTATTTACAGGCATTTCTAAACAATAAAAAATCCATGCTATAAGCATGACCTTGTGCATTACAGAGCAAGAAAATTGCATTGGTGTAAAAGACTAAATGCAATCTGCAGTAAACCCAAAGCAAAAGCTTGGCCCCGGGGGACTCGACGGGAGTTTTTCCATTAAACCCCACGGAGTCCAGCTGTAATCCCACACGCCTGCCCTTCAGAGAAGCTTTTGAGCACGCTCAGCAAATGCGGTATTGCAGAGATCCCCTGACCCTGCAGCCGTGCCTGCTCCCGGGCTCCTGCTGACCCGTGTGCGCAGCCTCACGCGGCACACGGAGCAGAGCTGGGGCGGGTAGGGACAGCCGGGCGTTAGTGTTGTCCCCCGGGAAGTTTGTCCCCAGCCCTGGCCCCGCTGCTCCCCCCGGCCCATGGCAGCAGGACTGCCCAGCTCTGTGCCGGCAGTGCCGCCGGCAGGCATGGCCTTGGGCAAGCAGGGCTGGTACCATGCAGGGATGCCGGGATGCCGGGATGCAGGGATGCAGGGATGCCGGGATGCAGGGGTGGGGCTGCCCCACAGCACTTCAAGCGAAGCAAGAGCTCCCGCGTTGAGAGCAGTGCCCGCAGCTCTGCCCCAGCCAGGCGCTGCCATCCCACGGGATACCTGCTGCAGGCAGAGGTGGGGCCCGGGGCCGGCGCCCCACTGGCC